TTCATGTTTATAGAATGTTGTCAAGTGAGTTCACATTTAAAGAATGTTCTTAAGTGAGTTCACGTTTACAGACAGTTCATATTTACAGAATAATAATTCAGGTTAATTGAATATTTTTCTTAAGTGAGTTCAGGTTAACTGAATGTTCTTCATATGTGAGTTCATGTTTACAGAATGTTCATCCTAAGCCACAGATGCTGACATTAACAGAAAAAAAAATTTAAAGGAGACCACACTCTCACACACACAAACACCTTTAGCCCTGTTGCTCTATGGCAGCGGTTCTCAACCTGTGGGTCGCGAACCTTTTGTGGGTCAAATAACCCTTTCACAGGGGTCACCAAAGACCATCGGAAAACACACATTCACTGAAGTTATGAAGTAGCAATGAAAATGACTGTATGGTTGGGGGGTCGCCACAGATTAAGAGCAGTTTCCACTTGGTACTAAGTCTCTATGCAAATACACAATTCATTTCTCAACCTCAAGAGTGCACACAGTCAGAAGCTGGGTATTGGCTACTGCTTAGAGATCATCACAAAACATTATGACGGTAAGCGTCGTAGGGGAGGAATAATTTGCGATCAACTGTACGCTAGCTCACACTGGTTATTGTCATGAGATGAATGCATAAGGTGTCTTTAATGTTTTTTATCCATACTTTTGCAGCCATCCTCTAGCTCTTGCAACTGACCTTCTGAGGTGTAGTGCCTGTCATGGCATTTAATCTTGCTACACTTAAACAAAATGTCCAAACCACTTGATGCTGTTTCTCGATGAATCTAGTACAAGGTGTCGTTCCCACAATCTGTCTGATAGTATCATTATTCACTCGATCTCAGATGGTTGGGTTGGCGGCTTTTCTCAGGTAGCTCATCTCATAGGTGGCGATTTTGTGTACATGAGCTTTAGATAGTGTCGAAGAGAATAAATAATAGAGAATATATGATTGTTACAACCCTATCTTTCAGAATGTAAAGGATCCTGATCTACACTTTCAGTTGTTCTGTGTATTTTATAGACCAATCTTTGTCCTGCCCAAAATGTAAATTTTCTGTTCTTAATAGGAAACATGGTTCTACGGGTTCTAACCCAAGCCCCACACACACACACAAAAATATGCATACATTTCACTAAACCACAACCAGAGCAAAAAATAGACAGAGATTAACAGCTGGATGGCTTGAATACATAGCAAATGTGGGATGACAGCACAGGTCTGATCAATGACTGGTGATCGGGTCAGAGGGTCAACTATATCCATGACATCTGACCATCATGGCATGTGACATCTGACCATCATGGCATGTGACATCTGACCATCATGGCATGTGAAATCTGACCATCATGGCATGTGACATCTGACCATCAGGGCATGTGACATCTGACCATCATGGCATGTGACATCTGACCATCATGGCAAGTGACATCTGACATCTGTTGAGGACCAGTTGGTGTTCCTAGCTGTTCAGACAGATGCACTCCAACTTCAAAGGAGGCCTCAATTAGTCGACTCCTACAACTTGCTTGTTGGGGAGGCAGTTGGTTTATTCTTGTTTTTCCCCCAATGGGGCCCTGGAACCCACACAGGGTACCATGTAGCTGATGTATAGCTTTACCAATCATGTTCATTACACACAGATGAATCATAATTGTATCAAGCCTGCTCATCACATATAAAGAAGCACAACTCTACCAGTCATAGCCATATTGTACTAAAAACTTTACAAATCATGTTCATCACATTCAGATGAATCATAACTGTTTCAACCATGTTCATCACACATGAATAAATGAAGTATAACTTTACCAATCATGTTCAATACACACAGATGAAGCACAAATCCATTAATCATGGTCATTTTGTAGAAATAACTTTACCAATCAAGTTGTCACATATAAATGAAGCACAACTTTACCAATCAAGTTGTCACATATAAATGAAGCACAACTTTACCAATCACGTTCATCATTTACAAATGAACACGTTTACCTATCACTTTCAACATATATATTTGATATGTAACTTTACCAATCATGTTCATCACATATAAATGAAGCACAACTTTACCAATAATGTTCATCACAAACAGAAAACACCTTTACTATCACCTTCATCACAAACATATGATACATAACAACAACCCAATTCATCTGTTTCCAATACAGCAAGTATATGAGATATTCAAAAAGATGCTCTGCAAGACGGTAGCAGCACATTCAACAACTAAAATGGCTAACTGAGATTCACACCAATGTACAAGGAGTGATGGATATTAAGCTATGGGTGAAAACTAAACACAAAATGCAACCAGAAAGTGTGACAGTTATGCATTTAAAAAAAAGGTGCTTTATCAATATCCTATCCCAAAAAGGGGAAATCCACAGATCAAATGACAGTCTAATTTTTTAGGGGGTGGTAGATAGGCTGCATGCAGTCGTGAGACCTAGGTTGTACTCCCTCGTGGGACGTTAGGTGGGTTGGGGTTAGGTCCAGTTCTAAATGTTTTCGGGGTCGTTAAAAGCGTCAGAAAGCTAGGAGGTCCCAATCTTACCACCCTCTAAAACTGTCCTGTGATGTCATCTGGGGTAGGATATTAATAAAGCACCCAATGTCCCGACCACAGTCCTTCTTCTTCTTCAGTCTTTTATCCCCCCATGTGGCACAGGTCCTCAACCAAATCATGTCAGTTTATGCTCTTTTTATCACTTGTGATTCTCAATATATCCTCACTGTCCCAGTTTCCTGTTCTTTTCTCGATATATTTGTGGTCTCTGTCGTCCTTATCTGCATAGAACTTCAGGTTACACTCAGCTGGTGCAGCCTTTATTGAGTGCTCTAATTATAACTACACTGGAGGTTAAACATGGTATCTGGGATCTGCTCTGTTGGTCTACCGTCCAGATAGAGACTTCTTTTTTAAAATCTCAGGGCTGCCAACCTTCAGGTAGCAGCTCAGAGGGGATAAAATGATGGATTAGTATCGCTGACCAAAGCCTTGGCCAACAAACAAATTGCTGTTATTGCTACCTGAAGGTATGGTCACCCCTGAGAATGTGAGAATCCCATTCTGGGTGGCAAACTGACCTGGCAAATCCCCCACACAACTCTAACCCCAGAAACTCATTGAAAAAACCCAGTTCCCGGAAAGTCCCGAAACGAATCCTTAAAATCCATTTTCAGGCCACTCAATATTTTGTTTTAAAAAATGTATTTATAGTTTTTTTTATTTTTTTTTTATTTTTAAAAACTACTTAGAGAAGGCAAGCACTCAACCAATGGCACACTGACAAAGGGAAAATGCCATAGCAGAAATTCCTGGTAAGCTATTTATACAGGACTGAGACACTGCCAGTTGTGCCAGATTTGCGGCTTCTCAGGACAAAAGGGTTAAACCTCAGAGAAATGACAACTGCGGCTCTCATAATGGCAACACCAACCTGGTGTGGCCTGAACGAACAAAAAAGGGGAGGACAAATAAAACTATGGTAACATTAACAAACTTATCTGACAGCCAAAATATTACATCTGAGCACAGGACAAATCCTAGTGTGAACATACTCTATGACAACAAAATAAAATTGGCAGATGAGAGCTTCCCGTCTTGTTTGTTCTTTGATAAAAACTGGCTGAAAATGTGTTTCTTTTTTTAACTCTTTCAGCACAAGCTTGTCATTACTTAAACTCTAATCCCGAGAGGTTCTAGTTTAAAGCAGCCAATTTTCAAGTCCAAATAAGTTAAAACAAATAACATTACAGGGCAGGAGTAACACTAACAATTCAGATCTAATGAGCTAATGAAACAACTGTTTGTGATAGAAGAGAGTTAGAAGTGTGCACAGTCTTTGGACTACCCGAGGAACATACGACAAGTTGAAAGGTGCTAAAAGAAATCACTCCACGGGCCGGACAACGTGACTGCTACCGGGAATACATCAGCTAAGTGATTGTGTGTATAGCTGTCTCTGCATGTGCTTTTGTTGATTTATGTGATGTGTTGGTGAAGGCTCGCTAGCAGCAAAGTTCATTTTCTGTTTGTGTTATACTGTGAAGCTCGCTGGTCCACTTTTTATTTGGTTGACACCTTTTCATAAAAGAAATCTTGTGTTCAGGGCTTTTATTGTAGAAAAAAAGGTGCTGATACTCATCACAAAGTGTCTAAGCAAAGGTGCGTATTTTCACCACAAAAGTGTTTATTCTGGTAGTGATGACAAAAATTAGGCCTAAAAAGGTGCTTGATACTGTTTAACATTTCGTACCGCCAAAAAAAAAACCTGCATTACGTCTCTTATCTGCCGAGCGACCTGGTCACATTCTACATTAATCTAGCAGAGTAATTCCTCTTGAGGTATCCCACTCTGGCAAGACAAGGCAATGGGCGGTGTACCAAAGCCAAATAAAGACGACACCAAATTTATAATAAAAATTATTTACAACCTATAGTGCGTTGAAGTACCTGGTGGCCTGTAAAAAATGTTCCCCACCCTAAACTTGTAGCCACTACAATGAAAACTAAACTGAGAAACTTATATGATGTAAGTGGAGCATTTCATCTCTCAGAAACAACTCTCCAGCTACAAATATAAGATCTTCTATTTTTGAAGCAGCAGCAAATATCTCATTAGCAAAACTAATATGATAAAACCAGACTTAATAAACAAAATGCTCTTAACATTTTGCTTCTGGATAAGCCGTCAGCCTCTTTGTAAAATATTTGTTTTTCAATTGTTGTGGTTTTTAAGGTGTTAAAAACAACTGGTTGAAGAATGCTGATTTACATCTCAGCATGTTTCAGATCTCAGTGTAACAGTTTTTGTCTCAAAACTTTGGGAAGTTACTTTTTAAAAAAAAAAAAGCATCAGTCCCCGCACTAAGTAAAACTCTTATGAGGCTTAGGCAGTACTAAGGTGAAATGGAGATGGTTGCTGACACTGTGAATGGATTGTCCGCAATATCTGAAACGTCCTTCATCAATGTGTTGTTTAGACTCATAGGGTCTTTAATGGGCAGACACTTGGAGTATCTCTATGGGTACCGAGCGATCGTAGTGAAATCTGCTTTGCGAAGGTGACTCAACAATTGAGTAATTCAAGCCTTCAGAACCTGAAATAACAATTTAATTGTTAACAGATTAATGAAATAGAAATTAAATAAATGCATACATAATTTCACAGAAAAATGCATTTATCAGTGCACATACTAAAGAAACTAAAGAAATGAAAAATAACAGCTAAAATATGGAGTAAGCAAACATGCCACTGGATTCTGCAAAAGTTTGTTTAATGATTGTAAAAGGTAGTTAAAACAAATCAAGGAGAGGATTTCTGCTTATCACTAGTTGTTTAAAAACTTTACCAACAGTCTAAGCAAAGACCTCAAGCCTAGGCAAAAAAACAGAGTAACATCAACAAACTAATTCTTTGCTGCTGAAAAGGTCTCGATGATAAACACAGCCATAAAATTGCAATATCTGACATCCATGATTCAAGAATGTAAAATGAATGTGTGTTATTTGGTACTAAAAATGTTAAAAGACAGCCAGGGACCAAAACTAATCTGCGGAACAATGACCAGAAATTCACCCTACATTATTCTTACTAGTAATACACAACTTGTCTATGACTGATTTTATCTCTCAATGAAGAATACATTTACGTACGGTACTAGGTGTAATGAGGAAAGATCGACTTAGGAACAATGATATCAAGAGGAGACTCGGCACAGAACCAATACTGAACTTAATGGGTAGACAATAAATTAGATGGCTTGGCCATGTAACAAGACAGGCCTCAGACAGGGTCCCACAGAGAGCAATGTCATACAGATACAACAGCAACAGATCCAGAGGTTGACCATGCAGAATATGGACTGCAGAAATAAGAGACACTGTAAAGTACTTTATATGAAGAGAACAGAAGAGCCTGTTTCCATCTCTTCTGCTCAAGGCTTGAAGAACAGGTCATCAAAAAAGGACTACTCTTTATTAAACAGAATTATCTGTAAATTTTCTAAACAAAATACAGGGCCCCTTTGAATCTAGTCGCACATAGAGCATATGATGCTAGACACATACTTTCTTAGTCCACACTGACTCCATTTAAAAAATCACTACCCAGGACCATTACCTGAGTATAGCCATCTTTAAAAGTGGCCCAGGACATTAACTGCTGTAGCCATCTTTACTACACAGGACATTACCTGCTGAAGCCATCTTTACTAAACAGTGACATTAACTGCTAGGCCATCTTTACTACACATCGACATTATGCTGCTACTTTCTTAGTCCCATGGCTTTACTACCCAGGACATTACCTGCTAGCCATCTTTACTACCCAGGACATTACCTGCTAGCCATCTTTACTACCCAGGATATTACCTGCTAGCCATCTTTACTACCCAGGACATTACCTGCTAGCCATCTTTACTACCCAGGACATTACCTGCTAGCCATCTTCACTACCCAGGACATTACCTGCTAGCCATCTTTACTACCCAGGACATTACCTGCTAGCCATCTTTACTACCCAGGACATTACCTGCTAGCCATCTTTACTACCCAGGACATTACCTGCTAGCCATCTTTACTACCCAGGACATTACCTGCTAGCCATCTTTACTACCCAGGACATTACCTGCTAGCCATCTTTACTACCCAGGATATTACCTGCTAGCCATCTTTACTACACAGGACATTACCTGCTAGCCATCTTTACTACCCAGGACATTACCTGCTAGCCATCTTTACTACCCATCTTTACTACCCAGGATATTACCTGCTAGCCATCTTTACTACACAGGACATTACCTGCTAGCCATCTTTACTACCCAGGACATTACCTGCTAGCCATCTTTACTACCCAGGACATTACCTGCTAGCCATCTTTACTACCCAGGACATTACCTGCTAGCCATCTTTACTACCCAGGATATTACCTGCTAGCCATCTTTACTACACAGGACATTACCTGCTAGCCATCTTTACTACCCAGGACATCACCTGCTAGCCATCTTTACTACACAGGACATTACCTGCTAGCCATCTTTACTACCCAGGACATTACCTGATAGCCATCTTTACTACCCAGGACATTACCTGCTAGCCAACTGGAAGCCAAGCCCATTTAAAAAAAAAAAGTCCTGCCCCATGATTATTATACAGAAAACTGAAAATTTGGATAAAGAAATTAACATCAAATGCAGGAGGACAAATCAAGTAATGGGACAGCTAGCAACCTTCCTATAGTATAAGACAATGTGGTCAGCACAAAGAAGAAAATAAACATCTCATACAAAACATATTCATTTGCCCTCTCTATGCTGCTAGGGCCAGACATGGTCATTCACAACAAACCAGAAAAGAAAATCAGTAACAATGGAAATCAGATGTCTCAGAAGGGCTGTAGGAGTGACCACAAGAGATACAGTCAGAAATGAGGTCATTAGAGAAGAATTCGGCACAGAAGTAAAGTAAAGATCCCTTTTCACGCCTTTAGGTGCATCGGGCATATGGGAAGAGCACCCATATTTTTACAGACAAATCTGCACTAGGTGGGTAATGTGGTCAGCGTTACGCCGGCCGTCTTTATTTCCCCAGGACAGCCATCCATCCTGGTACCCATTTTAGGCTGGGTCAACCTGTGACCTCCCATACCATGATAAAAATCCACACAGCCAGCAGTAAATTACATACAAAGACAGTAAATCAAATGGTTTGCCTCCTTAGAAAGAAAGAATGCCTTGTGACACCCATACAAAGCATACCTCAAAAGAGAAGGATGTAGGGCACACGGTCGCCCAAGAACAAAACCGAAGGATAATATCAGAGAAACCCAACAACAGCCCGATATGTAAATGGCTGAGGCGGCTAGAAGAGCCAGCAGCAGAACCTCATATCTCGCTCTTGCTAGAAGAAAACGTTCAGGGTCGCATCATTAACAATTTTCAGTAAGACATGTTCGTAGATGACCCACCAATTGCTATCAGGAATGCATCTCTCGTGTCCTCACTTCTAATGGTGGAAGCTATGTAAGCCTTTGGCTTCCTGTTGCTTTCCGGTCCTGTATCTAGAAGACTTTTGAGCACAAACACCAGAGCTGGGATAATGCTTGTGTCATAAACAACATCTGAAATGTGTTGGAAAGGGAACACATAAATAATAAAACAAGTTTAACTGACAAATAACTTGTATAAGTACAAGTTGACACCATCTCAGCAAGTTAGTATCCATTACAGTTTTAGAATGCAAAGAATGTCCTAGGTATTTTCATATTTTTAGGATTAAAATAATATACTAGGTATCATCCGACTTTTAGAGTGCAAACAATTTCTTCTGTATCATCAAATTTATAAGAATAAAAATGATATTCCAGATATCATCACAGTTTTAGAAGATAAAGGATATTCTTTGTATCATCACATGTTTAGAATGTAACTTTCTGCATCTCATAAATTTTTAGAATAAAAATATTTCTAATGTTGGTTACCTGGGTCCCATTGAGGGAGGGGAGGGGGGATGGGGATAGAACAGAGCCATTGCCCCCTTAAGGATGTCATCAAGAGTTATTACTTGATTACACAAGGGGAAGTCAGTAAGTAAGTCACAAATGGTTGTTTGAAGAAAAAAAAAAAATCAGAAGATAACAACTGAAAACTGTTTATTTTTACACATACACTGTCTCTTTATTTTTTCAACATAATTTCCACCAACATTGATGCACTTGGCCCATCATCTTATCATTTTATCAGTCCTCCCAAAGTTGCTGCATAGAAGTAAGTGCTAAGTTTTTAAACCACACGTTCACTTCATATGCAATTTCTGCGTCATTCGTGAAATGTCTCCTGTCAAGGTGTGTTTCCAGTGGATCAAAAAGGTGGAAATCGCTAGGGGCTAAGTCCGGGGTTGTAAGGTGGATGTTCCAGAAGTTCTCACTTTAAATGGTTAATTGTCTCCTGAGTTAACCGAGCCGTATGTGGTCTGACATTGTCATGAAGGAGCAGTACTCTTCAGTCAGCAGGCCTGGATGTTTTCTTTGAATTGCATCATAAAGCATCGATAGAACTTTACAGTGTGAATCAGCATTCACTTTGTCCCCTCTTTTGTTGAAATTGGTTAAAAGCACTCCGAGACAATCCCAAAACACTGTCAGCATAACATTCCCTGCTGATGGAGTGTTACCTTGAATTTTTTAACACAAGGCAAAGAAAAATGTTTTCATGAATCGAAGCATGCTTTGATTCGGGCTTGTAGTGATGCACCCAGTAGCAATCCTGTTCAGCATGCCTTTTCCTTCATCTGCACGACACAGATGCTGCATAGGCAGGCCTAATCGGTTCATTTTGTGTTCATCCGCCACTTGTCTGGGTACCCACCTTGAGCACACTTTCTTAAATTTAAATTGATGATGCATTATGTTGTATGCTGAACCATGTGAGCGCCCTATAGAGTCAAAGTTACTCGCATGTCACCTCTAATCAACTCTTCCACCCACTGCGCGGATGCGTCTGTTGCAATCTCAACAGGACAACCAAATCGGACTTTATCTACAATTTTAGAGTGCCATTGAGAAACATTTTTTTACCCAGCTGTGCACCGCTTTATGAGATAATTAAACAGGGGGTTTGCTCAAATCGGATATGTTAGGGCCGAAACATATAGATATCGCAGCCTAGCTATAAACCTAAACGCAATGAGCTAACCATTAAAAAAAATATGTATATATATATATATATATATATATATATATATATATACATATATTTGATGTCGCTATCACCTAATGACATATTCAGAAACCACTAACTACATTTTCCTGCCACCCATAACCATTTGTGACTTACACTTCCTCTCGTATATTACAAAAGAACAGACAAGCTGCTTTGACAGAAATATATTCCTGCAGCATGATCTAAACTTTCCAGAGGAGATCCTGGCTGGTCTATTGAAGCCCACTGCTTTAGAAATCATACCAACCAGCTTCAGAGTTGGAGTCTCTTCTTCATTTCCTAAGTGTTCACCGGCTGTTGTTGTTGTTGTTGTTATCGATCCAGCGGCGCATGAGCTTTCGCCCTTTGGCCCAATGCCATGTAGTGGAATTTGCATGTTTTCACAAGCTGTTCTTTTCCTCCGTACAAGGTGTTCCACTTGTCTGGTCTCGGAGGGAGTAGCGTTCTTCTTGTCTCACTGAGTTTTGGGCACTCAAAGAGATGGTGTTCAACAGTTTTCGTAGGGGGTAGTTACATAGCTGGCACTCTGGGAGTGTTGTGGCTGTATTCTGTTTAGGTGTCCATTGAGTGGAGTATGTTGCGTTCTAAGTCTGAAGATGGTGGCCTGGTCCCTTCTTGTTAGATGGTTAATGCTGTCATTAGGATCAGGGCCAGACATATGTCTATAAACCTCTCTTCCAGTGTCTCCCATGGCCCATCTGTTCAACCATGTCTCTTTGTTTATAGCTCTTATCAGTGTTTTTTGCTGTCTGGAGGGTTGTCGCTGTAGGTGGTTGTTCTTGTGTTGCTCCTTTCTTTGCCAATCTGTCAGCTCTGTCATTACCTGGTGTGCCGAGTGACCTGGAATCCACTGCATCACTATTCTGATGTTTGTATGAGGTAATAAGCTGATCGGCATCCAGGATTATCTTGGCTATGTCAGTTCTGCAGCGTTCATTGCCCTCCCAGAGCTTGAAGGGCAGACATTGAATCTGTGAAGATGACAATATTTTGGACCTTTGAGGGGTAAACATCCATTACAGTCTTTAGGTGGTATACTGCTGTTTCCAGTGCAATTATTTCAGCTTCATAGTTTGAACAGAATTCCCCGCATGCATCAAAAATCTCTTCAACAGACCCATCGGGATAACCTATGTAGATTCCGTAACCTGCTTAATGGTAGCTTTAAATGCTGATCCATCAGTATAGACATGTATCCATTCTTGGGGGTAAGAATCAACGGTCTTTAGTGATGAGTTCATAAGAGCGATTGGGTCGGACTGTTTGGTTTCCTCGCCTACCAATTTAGTTTGGACTTCTGGAGCTTTAAAGCGAGCATGTGGTGGTAGGTTTTTTGCAACATTCTGAATTCCTTGACGTCTTTCTGGGAGGTGGTATCTGTCCTGAATTTCATTAACACAGTGTAAAACCGATTTGTGCTTTATTCTTTGTTTGGATTCCCAGTTTTCTACAAGATGTCTATTAGGATGGTTACGATTTTCCTAACGCATCTTTCATAAATTCTAAAGTGGCTTTTTCTCTCCGCAAACCCGAGGGGTTCCACATTTGTATGGATTTCACATGCAGCAGTTGGTGTAGACTGCATAGCTCCGCAGATTAATCGGAGGGCATTATTTTGTACTCTGTCAAGAGTCTCTAGGTTAGTTTTGGAACAAGTTGTAAGCAGTGAGTTGTTGTACTCTATCACAGAGCGAACATATCCTAGGTATAAGCCCCTCAGAGTTTCCTTGTCTGATCCCCATGATGTACCTGCAAGTCTCTTTAATAACTGTAACCGCCTCAATGCCTTATTCCTGATGTTTTCAATATGGTTCTTGAGGCTGAGCTGCGGGTCAAGTGTGACTCCAAGGTATGTGGGATGCTCTTCTTTCATCACTTGGTGTTTGTCTAACCTCAGGTTAATATTCTTCCTTGCTACTTGGTGGCTTTTGGTAAAGATTGTGTAGACCGTCTTTGCACAGTTAATCTTGAGTTTCCATCTTTGGCAGTAATCATGCAGTCTTCTAAGGTCTCTATTCAGTCTTTGGGCTCCACTCTGCCATATTGCTAGGTCATCAGCGTACAAGGCTTTTTCGGCCTTGATTTGTTCTGGCAGGTCATTGATAAAGATTAGGAATAGTGTACAGCTCAATGATGAGCCTTGTGGCAAGCCCTATCCAAGACTTCTTTAGAAGAGATTGCGTTGTGCATCTTAGTCTGGATTGTTCTATCTATCAGGAAGTATTTCACCCAGTTATACAATCTGCCATGTATTCCTATGCTCATCATCTTCATCAGGAGACCTTTTCTCCATACTCTGTCATAGGCCTGCTGGAGGTCGACAAAGACTGCCACTGTGTGTTTCTTATTCTGGAAGCCATCATGTATTCTTTGTGTCAGTCTGAACAGCTGGTCTTCTGTGCAGCTGTTGGTTCTGAAGCCTGCCTGTTCATGGCATAGAACACCAGAAACTCTCAAGGAACCAATATAAGCGCCTGTTTATCATTCTTTCTGCAACTTTGCCCAAGCATGATGTTAAGGATATCGCGCGGTAGCTTTTGGGGTCATCTGGAGGCTTTTTGGTTTTAAGGATGGGGACGATATATGCATTCCTCCATGCCCTTGGAAGTTTGCTTGACCTCCAAGTTTTATTAATAAGCCTGAGAACTACTTCTCTCCCAGACCGGCCAAGATGTAGCAGCATTTCGTTGTGGATCTTATCTGGGCCTGGAGATTTTCTAGGTTTTAATTTCTTCACCGGCTGTAAAATTCAGCGGAAAGTTCTCGTTGTTAATCCACCTCTAGACTTTACTTTTGTTCCAGAACTTGAACTTTGCATGCAATCCGTTTTACAAATCTTGCTTATCTGCATGCAGACTGTTGGTTCCTTGCCTCTCAGGCAGAAGCACCCTTACGCTGAAGAGCTGGAGGCAAACAGCTTGATCACTTTGCCACATAGACTTCTGAGGCTCATCACTATCATGCTACCCGCCAATAAAGAATAGATGGCTGTGTTTTGCCATCTCACATGATCACAAGATTCACAGATCATCTCAGAGCTCTTGTCTTGCCCATAGTCACACAGCCAAGTATTCCAGGTACTTATCTCTTGCCCTCCCTTGATCTTTTTTCCTTCAATCTCGCCAGTTATTGCCAAGTTCCAAAATCAATTCCTTCTCAAAAGATGTCAACAACAACAAAAAAACACATTAATTTCTCTGGTCAGTTTAGTTTGCATCTGTCTCAAGGAGGATTCCCTCATGTGTTTTTCTATCATTTAACAACATTCTTTGCATTCTTCTCAAAATTCTACTTTCTACACTTTACAGTCCCAAAAATCGACTGTTTGCTGAAACTGAAGGTACTGGCCACAACAGAGGGGATAACACAGTCTAACTTCAAACTAACACTGTTAGTTGCATATCCTGTACAGTATTTCAGAAACCAATCCAGAATTTACAAGCTGCTGTGTGTGTGTTTTTTTTGTTCTACACATATTTATGTTTAATTGTTTCTGAACACAGTATGCTGCTCAGAGTGTGGTCAAAATCCATGCAAAAGGATGTGCTTAAAGAAAAAAAAAATCCTGCAGCTGACTTTGAACTGCATTCACAATTTTCAGGCACTGACATTATCTTATGTTCCAATTCACTAATTAATAATTCACAGAAGAATAAAATAACTGCTAGATAATCTTCTACATTTGTTGTGTGGGTTCCAAGGTCCCATTTGGGAAAGGGGGGAGGGGGAGGGGAGGATAGACCCCCTGCCTCCTAACAAGCATGTCGCAACAGCTAATTAAACAGGGTTTGCTGAATTAGGATATGTTAGGGCCGAAACATATAGATATCGCAGCCTAGCTATAAACCACAACGCAATATGCCAACCATAAAAAAATGTATGTATATATATATATATCTTCCTACCTGCAGCCAGTATGATGTCCGACTTCAATTTTTCCAGAACTTTCCCTTTCACACACTCCCAGTCGAGATGACAGATGCTCACACGTCTGTCAGCTTTCAAAGAAGCTATTCTGTGGGATGAATCCATGTCCCAGCAACTGGTGCTAACATCAAGCTCCACGGGGTCTGAGTAGATTTCATCATCATTTACATCCGACTCCACCACATCTTTACCGTCCCCAAAGGCTGTGCTCGGATCTTCACTGCCGGATGAAAGACTTAACTGCTTGCGAATTTTGCGTAGAATTTTCTTGTCCCTGTCGGAGGAGTCTGAGTTTTGTTTGTGTTTCTCCTGCACCAGATTCTGCTCGATGTTCTTTGAGAGCAGATATAAAACCTGTGCATGGCAATCTGTAAATGCATAGCTCTGTATCTGACAATATTTACAAGAGACAATCCCTGTCAGGCCGAGCCCACTCCCGAGTTCCGTCACAGACCTGCCACAGAAAAACAAAAGATGACTCACAAGCTATCACATTCACAGTGAAAAAAACTGGCATTTTTGGACTTGCATGTATAATTATCAACATTAACTCTGTGACCCCGAAAAGCAGAGAGCCTGGCATTTCCTGAAAAACAATGCTGCTTTCCCAAAATTTTTGCTATGGCCGGTTCCCGAGAAGCTTAGTTAACAGCATGTGGTTTTGTTTGCGTATGAACTGTGTTTAGGGGGCCTGGAATTTATTTATTAAAAGCTCCAGAAAATGTATCCCATTTAATATTTCACATAAACAATTTGGGAAAATATATAAATAAAATAAAAAATAAAAATAAAAACTCTATATTAGTGGCATGTGTAAAATGACCGTTTTTCAATGCGAATTCCCATGTTATAAACATTACCCCTCCCCATTTTTTTTAGCATTTCCAGGGCAAAAAGGTTAAGAACTCTCACATTTTCATTCACGATTAACACTAAGCACTTTCAGGTTTTAATTTATAACTACCAACACTTAAATACTTTTTATATTTTATTTCTAAATATCACTGTTAGTACTTTCCAATTTGCGGTGTCCGTGGCTTAGGCGTTGCGAGTCCGACTCGTAATCCAGCGTACCGCGATCAAAACCCACTGGTGGCTGCATGGATTTTTATCATGGTATAGGGCATCGCAGGTCTACCCAGCCTACAAGGGGTACCAGGATAGCTGTCCTGGGGAAGTAAAGACGGCCGGCGTAATGACCACATTATCCATCCAGTGCCAATTGGTCTGTAAAAATATGGGACGCTCTTCCCATATACCTGATGCGCCTAAGGCGTGAAAAGAGATCTTTACTTACTTTACTTTTACTTTCCAATTTACATTTATGATAAACAATGTAAACACAATCAGATTTTTATTTATAAGTACTTTAGTCAGAACTTTCTGATTTTTATCTATGATTATCAGACATTCATAGCTTTCAGGTTTCATGTGTAGTGAAGAAGGCTATTCTGTGTAGTACTGTCAGATTTTCATGTTGAGTTGAATCAAGAATTGACATCACAGCACTCGGGGCATTCCCATGCATGCTCTGTCCTCATCTTCAGCAGCCAGCACAGAGTTCCAATACTGATGGTACCGGTCATAATCTGGTCATATGTCCGTCTTGCCTTTTCTCTGATTGTATTGAGCCGGCCAGACCCTCTGGTTACACCCAGGTGCCTCATTCTCTCCAGGCCATAATAATCTTGTTTCTCTACTGATCTACTGAACACATCTGCCTTGTCATGTATCAATTCCCCACCCAGTGGTGTAGATCCAGTCAAGCTGTCTGCCTGTTCATTACCCACTACACCAGCTTAGCCTGGAGAATAGACAGACAGATTTTCATGTCTAATTATCAACATTAACACTGAAAACAAAATAGGTGTCCATTCAGTTTTCTGCTTCTGCCCTGATATTATTCACGGGTGTGTGTGTGTGCTGGTCCTCAACCAACTTCAGTTGTTCTTCTGCTACTCAACTCATGTTGTGCTCTCATTGATTAATCTGTTACTGATTCTATTCTCTGTGTGTTTTCAAGTCACGCTCTATCACTTTTTGTGTGCTAATTCCAGTGCAAGGAATTTTAATTATGCTACTATAAGGATTTTTCACCATCTGTCCTATCCAGTGCCAGCCTCTTTCCCTCTTGATTCAAGGAATTTATAAATAGTTTTAAAGGAGAAAAGCTTATTTCAAATAAAAATAACATTAATGTTATTTTCAATCTAGTGACCCCCCCCCCTCCCTCCCCAACTCCAACAAGCATGCTAAATCAATCAATCAGATGCCGTCTCCACAATGAAGGTTGGCTGCAATGGATCTCCAACAAGCTCTGTCTCTTGCCCTTGATGCAAACTCGCTCATACTGCTGTTCGTCCATCTCTTGATGTTATCCTCCCACTTGTAACGCTGTCTGCCTCTTGCTCGCCTACCTTGAACCTTTCCCTCTAGGATGATCTTTACAATCCTGTTATGTTTTTTAATGTGACCAAAATATTTCACTTGTCTCTTTTTTTATTTCACCTAGCAACTCTCTTTTTATTCCCAATTTCCTCAGTACCTCTGTATTTGATAGCATGCTAAAAAAAAGGCCCCTAATTTAGGATTTTCTGAAATTTGATGTGTTGAGCCGAAAGGCACAGATATCCACAACACAGCGTGCTATTTTAATGGCGAAATAAGGACAAGATTTTCAACTGAATAATTTTTTTTTTGGGGTCTTACATTTTTAAAGAAAAAGAAAGCTCCAGCAGAGACTGACTGGTTCCTGTAGCATGTAAAGCCCACAGGTGAACTTTTCCTGGGCATATCAAACAGCAAAGTGTGGCATTATATCTAGTATGTTTGGTCACAGCTACTAAAGAAGACTGGTGGCTATATATGTTAACATCAAAGAAATACATGTATGATTTTCTTGTTGTCTGAGCACATGCAGAGTTTTTTTGTTTTTGTTTTCCATCCAGGGTGCTATATGTAAGTCTGACACCCTGAGGTTCCAAATCCCCATACAGATGACAGACCAACAGGACAATCCCAGAGACCCTCTTCAACCATCTTCTTCTTCTGCCTTTCTAGCCCCCAAAGGAGAACAGGCCATCAACCAACTCGCCAAGTCGTTCTATCCTTCGCTATCGCATGCAGATCCCCACATGTCCTCCACAACGTTTTAACTTTAATCTCTCTTCTCAATGTGGGTTCCAGTGCGAAGACATTCCAGTTATATTGTTCTTAGGTTTTCACAAGAACTATTCAATGCCAGCGTTGTTTCTTCCCTTCTTGGTCCACTGCAACTTGTTTAGTTCTTTCCCAAAGCCATATATTAGTGATTCTATCATACCATTTAATTCCCCCTATTCTGAGCAGGCACCAGTTAATGAATGATTGTAGTTTATTAGTAACTGCATTAGTTGTTCTCCGTGCGTCCAACTTGGCAAAGACTGTTTTAAAGACTGTAGTTTGTACTCAACTGTCCCCGTGTGAGTTTCAGGGTTCCATTGTGGGGAAAACAAGAATAGACCCACTGCCTCCTCAGCAAGCATGTTGTAAGAGTCGACTAACTGGAGGTTTGCTTCGAAGTCGGAGTGTATCTGCCTGAGAGGCAAGGGACTAACAGTCTGCATACAAATAAGTCAGATATGTAAAACAGATGTACATGCAACACTCAGGTTCTGGAACAAGATTAAAGTCCAGAGGTGGATGAAAAACCAGAACCTTCTGCCGGAGTTTACGGCCGGTGAGCGCGAAGCAGCAGCAGTAGAAGAAGAAGAAGCAGAAGAAGAAGAAGAAGCAGAAGAAGAAGAAGAAGAAGAAAAAGAAAAAGAAGAACTCACCTGTTAGCAAAGATATGGGGGTTCTCAAGGATCCACTCTGCCAGATGCTGTGCTGCCTGACAATGCACAGACAAATCCATTAAAATGCCAGAAAAGATCAACACCAATATGCTATACAAATATTTCAACAGAACTGTTGAACTGTTGTTCTGAGTGTGCACTGAAAAGTAAACAATGACTTGCTTATTCTTCAACTAATTTGAGAGGAAAAACAGGCATTAATGAGACTGCATGCAATATATGTAGTACAATCGTCTTCTCCTTCCCTTTATGACTGCTTTGGGTGTTGAGGGAGATATAAGGTTCGACCAGAGACACATCAAACTGTTGTACATTTCTCTAATTTAATCTTTCTACCCTGTTCCTGATCTACCTTGTGCCCTATGTACCTCTCTTCTTTTCGTATATGCCTTGTATGGTATAGCATCGTGAGAAATTTTCATTATGTGCTGCCTGTGTTGGCAATTTAGCAACACTAACACAAAAGTTTAACAAAATTTTAAAAAATTATACTATCTGGGTTTATAAGGAAGTCAAAGAAGAGAAACACTATAACCTATCAAGCATGTCATAAGAGGTTGTTACTTAGGAGGGTAAACCACAGAAAACTTTCATTGCAAATTCCAACTAAACATGAACAAGTCAATAAAAGAGTTGGCATGGGTTGGTAGGGAGTACACCCATTGGAAGATGAAAGGCAGAAAGAGAAGAAAATAAAACCATCTTGAGAGGATCACCTGCAAGACAAAAACTAGAAGACAGTGTGGCATATGATAACTGGATGGCCTATTAAAGCAGCCCTGCCACAAAACTGTCTGTATTTATTTTTGCGGCACAGACAGGGTGTCTCTGAGCCTGAGGTCTATAAGACTGCATGGCTGCCCAAACAGAACAAAATCTATGGCCTTACAGAGGAATCGAACCTGAGCCTCTCGCATGGGAGCCCAGTGTTCTTAACTGTTCGGCAAGCTTCAACTAAAGCAGATTAACAGCTAAAAATAAGTACACAACTAGGTCATACAAAAAGAAAGATATGGCACATATCCCAAACATCTCGCCGGGCGCGAGATTTCGTGTCGGCTCCCCTTCATGTCCTAGCCGTTCCCATGGGCTGTTCTATGTTCTAGGGGTGTCAGCATAATGAGAGAAAAGCAACAGTATTTTGCTTGTCTCTCGCTGATGCTGACGGAATTTCAGCTCGCAGTTTAAGTCACCCAAGTAAGGCCGCAGTGATAGCCATGAAGAGCAAACGCATAACGCTGTAACACACACAGAGCCAGCCACTGATAACGTGGAAAATAAAACATGCTGGCCATTCACAATGTGGAATATAGAATGCTTTCAGGGTTGAAAAAAAACACAACATGACATCCCTAGAACAGCCATGGCATGAATGGGAGCTGACATCCAATCTCGTACCCCACGAGATGAGGGCATGTTTATGCAAAAACAATGACATTTTTCTCAGTAGTCAATCTGGCTCATAAAGAGAATACTGTGCCAACATCTGAGGTATTTTATCCATGTTAAACGTCATGGTGACCTGGAAAGAACTCTAATGGAGGACACCGTTTCTGGAAAACAACACAGAGGCAGACCTCTGCAAAGGTGGATACAAGACATCAAAGATGCATTAGCTATGAAAGCACATTGGGCTGGAGAATTAGCTAGAGACAGAGAAACCTTCAGGTGTGCCGTTACGAGAGGGATATCCTGTAAAGGACCTGCCGACTGATGATAATGATGATAAGTCAATGTAGACAAAGAAGACTCAGACAAGAGACTGTGCAATTTATATCCTGATACATTTAGCTGTACATCTTTAAGTGCATTAACACAGCGTCTCATTGTCAGACATAATTTTTTGTTGCTTTTAAGCCCCACCCTGCCTGTTGCATAATAAAACCTAATCTATGGGGTGAATAGACTTTCTGGGACCTGCCCTCTGGTGATCCTTATTCAAATGGTGGCACTTTGTGTCACCGGGTGTTTATCGCTTAGTGTGATCTCCTGGTGGTCAGTCAGGTGCATACCTATGTATGTGCCATCTCCACTATGAAGGTTGGCTACAATGTCCCCACAGCTCTCTTTGAGAATATTACATAGTGAGGTCCCAATCTCTTCCACAGTGCAACTCTCATAACACTGTCTAAAACCATGAAAGCAGATCTGTCGTTTAATAAATTGTGTGCTGTGGAAATCGAACCTTGGTACCTGAGGATAATGAAATTGTGAAAATTATCTCAGCTACAGATGGCATACTGCAGTAACATAAATAAGATGAAGCAGTAAATGAGTCAATCAGGTCTTGTGCTTACCTCCGTAAAGAAGCAGTTATCAGGTCTTGTGCTTACCTCCGTAAAGAAGCAGTTATGTCTTAGTGTGGTGAATAATGGTATTTAGAGTCAAAGGAAGCTCACAGAAGTCAGCTTCAGGCCTCAGAAATGAGATATCTGATAAAGGTGGTCCAAGTGACAAAAAGGGAAAAAGTTCGCAATCAGACAATACGTCAATATCTTGAAACCCAGGCCTTACAAACTCAGCGGATCAGTCACAGCTATGATGGTTTGGACATGTATGCAGAATAGGGAAAAATCGCACACAATGAGAGGCATGGGAGGCCAAGAACCAGACCTCCAGGGCGACCCAGAATCAGCTAGAAAGACAACATCCGACAGTCCCTAACTGACAGAGGACTGGAATGGAACAAAGGCAAAAAAAAAAACTGCTGAAAGAGAAGAAGTTTGGCAATCTCTTTGGCAAACCTCTATCCCCAAGACAGACGAGAAAAGACCAAGTAAGTGTGAAACGATTCATTTATATGTTTAATCTCACCTAATTATATTACTGCAGTATGCATAGCTCAGAAAAAACCCCAAAAAAACCAAACGCATGGAGAAGGGACCTAGAGATAAACAGATGGAGAGGTTGTGAGGTGAGCTGCATGCAATAGCGTAGGATAGAAGGACTTTGCATGAGTTGGTTGAGGGCCTGTGCTCCATTGGGAGATAAATCAAGAAGAATTATGCACACCTAATGAGATATATGAGTGCCTTCAATAAACTGTCCAACATCTGGAAATCAAAGACACTTAGCAAACACACAAAACTCAAGATCTTCAATTCTTGTGCGATTCCAGTACTAACCTATTGATGCGAGAGCTGGAAATCAACGAAAACTCTAGACACAAAATTAGACAGTTTTGAAAATAAATGCCTTAGAAGAATACTAAATTTCAAATGGTCAGATTTCCGAACCAATACACAAATAAGGCAAGAATCCAGGCAAGAGTATGTGTCTAATTTTATACGAAAACGCCGCTGGAACTATGTCGGCCACGCCCTTAGAATGGATAAATCAAGACTTCCTTACCAAGCCCTCATTTGGACACCACAGGGGAAAAGATCTTGTGGAAGACCAAGGGAAACCCTACGTAGAACTATCATCAGGGAAGGCTCACTCATGGGCCACTCAAACATTCAAGACCTACAACAGATTGCAACGAACCGCCATGCATGGAGAGTCATGACCTCTGCCCTATGTGCCGCACTCGACACAAGAGGAAAGACTAACTAACTAACTAACTAATGAGATACAGCGAAATAAGCCAGGCAACAAACTGCCCAATCCTGGTGTCATCTTGTTCAAATATTCAAATATTGTGCTAACACTGGAGGTAATTTTACAATCACAAGTACAGAGTACTCACCTGCCATGTACTCAGCCCTGTTGTACCTTGAGATACCAAATGAACTGACTCTTGTAGTGAAATACATTCTCCTGAGGGCTAACATAAACAACAAAACAATATATATGTATAGACATGAATATATACACATACACACCAACATATATATACAGATTTGTATGTGTGTGCACGCACATATACACGCATATATATATCAAATAAAGGACTTTAAGGCTGCCAATATACTTATTTTGAGGAAATAATAATTCTTCTCTTCCTCTGGTTACTTCAGTGAAGTGTTGGGGGATGATGAATGGTGTGTGTGTGTTTCTTTCTGATGTGTTGTAAAAGTTAATCTCAATTTCTTTAAGGTGGCTCTTGATGTAGTTGCTCCATATTTTGCACTGCTTTTGCTTGCTCTGTGTGAATTATATTTCTTTAATGTGGTTCAGTGCAGCAGCTGGTATCACAGAGTTCTTGTCAGACAGCCAAATGATCTTGTCTGTTTACTGAACATCTTTATCGAACTGTATGACTGGTTTAAATCTTAGTCTGCTTATCCGTTCTTAATTTGTAATTGTTCCTTTTACTTCGACAGTTCTCTGAAGACACCTTATCTCCGTTATAATTTTCTGTTCACTAGTTGTAGCAAAAGGGGCTGCTGGGGTTGGTTCTGCAACGTCCTGTAAGGCATTCGCAACTAACCTAGTTGTAGCAAAGGGGCTGCTGGGGTTGGTTCTGTAACGTCCTGTAAGGCATACGCAACTAACCTAGTTGTAGTAAAGGTTTCTGTTCACTAGTTGTAGCAAAGGGGCTGCTGGGGTTGGTTCTGTAACGTCCTGTAAGGCATACGCAACTAACCTAGTTGTAGTAAAGGTTTCTGTTCACCAGTTGTAGCAAAGGGGCTGCTGGGATTGGTTCTGCAACGTCCTGTAAAGGATACGCAACTAACCTTGTTGTAGCAAAGGTTTCTGTTCACTAGTTGTAGCAAAGGGGCTGCTGGGATTGGTTCTGCAACGTTCTGTAAAGGATACGCAACTAACCTTGTTGTAGCAAAGGTTTCTGTTCACTAGTTGTAGCAAAGGGGCTGCTGGGATTGGTTCTGCAACGTTCTGTAAAGGATACGCAACTAACCTTGTTGTAGCAAAGGTTTCTTCTTCTTCTTCTTTCGTTCGCATGAAATAAATTGTCTATATCTGCAAAGCCGTCTCTTGTATGAATTTCACTGTCTTTTCTAATTCACTAAGCGGCCCGTAAAGTTTGACTTCCACAAGTGTCTCTTTTGGACAAAGGTTTTGCCTGAAAGCGTTGAATATGGGACAGTCTTGAAGGATGTGATCTGTTGTTTCAGGTGCCAGTCCACAAGTACACATGGCCGATTGGCCAATCTTAAATTTGTTGTACATGTGGGAGCGAAGTCTATTGTGCCCTGTTCTAAGGCGAAGGATAATAACTTGCTCTGGTCTGTCCATAATATGGTAATCATCTTGTGCCAGTTTCGGTGGCATTCTGATTGATTTGATCATTCTCTTCTTCTGTTGATAAGAGACTGGTATGTCAGGTTGTTCTTCAGTTGCACCTTCCTTAGCTAGTTTATCAGCTTTTTCGTTTCCGGGAACTCCACAGTGGGAAGGTATCCACTGCATTACTAATTTACAGCGGTTGCCTAGTTCGGATAATAGTGTCCGTATGCTTGGTAATTTTCCAGACTGGAGTGACTGAAGTACTGCTTTTGCATCTGTCAGGAATACCACTGGTTGTGAAAAATACCCTGTATTTAGTGCAAAGGTTTATGTTCACTAGTTGTAGCAAAGGGGCTGCTGGGGTTGGTTCTGCAACGTCCTGTAAAGGATACGCAACTAACCTTGTTGTAGCAAAGGGGCTGCTGGGGTTGGTTCTACAACGTCCTGTAAAGGATACACAACTAACCTAGTTGTAGCAAGGGTTTCTGTTTACATTGGTGGCATAATGTGGGCCCAGAAAAAAAAATTATGTGAACTGCCTGGCCCAGAACCAAAAAAAGTTTTGTGACCTGCCTAGGTTTTTGGGGAATGAGAGATGTAGTTACAATTACTTTCCATGTCTATATACATTTTATTAAGAGCAAACAAACTACTTATCTGCTTGGCTTTGTTTATTGGGTTATTGTCCCAAGACTAGAACAAAGTTTTTTTCAAATATTTTTCAACATGCCTCTCCACTATAGATCTTCTTCTTTAACTATAACTACATGGTGTCTGTCTGCATCACGACTGCAATATTTGCACCTTTTGGCTAGCAAAACTGACATTTGCACCTTTCGGCTAGCAAAACTGATTCCTTTGGGTATTTGTTGCTCAGATTAGCTTTCTCAGCACCACAGATTTAACACTGACCTGTCAACATTGCTTATATATTGTGGAAATAATTTGGTAATCATCTTCATCTTTCACATTCATACATAAGAAATTGACATGTAAAAATGATTCTATTGTTCCCCGTGGGGGTTCCGGGGCCCCCTAATGGGGGAAAACAAGAACAGGCCCACTGCCTCCCCAACAAGCATGTTGTAAGAGTCGACTAATTTGGGAGCTTCCTTCGAAGTCAGAGTGCATCTGCCTGAGAGGCAAGGAACCAACAATCTGTATACAATTAAGTCAGATCTGTTAAACAGATGCACAAGCAACACTCAGGTACTGGAACACGACTAAAGTCCAGACGTGGACGAACGACCAGAACTTTCCACCGGCGTTCACAGCCGGTGAATGCTAAGATGAAGAATAAGAAGATTCTATTGTAAATAGTTTTAATAACTTCTAGAATTTTCCAGGAAAGCGATCTACTAGCACATATTTAAATTTATATACTATATAAACTATACCATTTTATATGACTTGTAGCAAAGAGTCTCGTCTTCATCTTCACTCCGAGACAACAGGTCTGTGTATGTTTCATACATCTCATCAGCAATGTCTGCATCTTCTGATTCCAGCTGAGGAAAGAACACAGGGTGTGACATGCAGTCAATAAACAAGTCAGAGGAGATTCACCACTGTGGTGATCTGTAGTCAAATATTTGAACAGAAGAGTTTACAATGTGAAATTAAATATTAGGAAATTAGTAGACGGCTTCCCCGTGTGGGTTACAGGGCCCCACTGTGAGGAAAACAAGAACAGACGCACTGCCTCCCCAACAAGTATGCTGTAATAGTCGACTAACTGGGAGCTTCATTCGAAGTTGGAGTGCATCTGCCAGAGAGACAAGGAACTAATAGTCTGCATACAAATAAGTCAGATTTGTAAAATGGATGTGCATGTAACATTCAGGTTCTGGAACAAGACTAAAGTTCAGAGGTGGATGAACAACCGGAACATTTCGCCGGAGTTTACAGCCAGTGAAAGCAAAGAAGATGAAGAATTAAAGACTAGGACTGAAACTAGTCCAACAACTAATTGAAAGTGCAACAGATTTTTCTTCTTCTGAGTTCCCCATTAAATCAATGGTTGGCAAAATGTGTTTTTTTTTTCTCTTCTTTTTCTTAAAGCCATGCTGTGTGACGTTGGTAGTCATGTCTATCCACAACCTTCTGTCGTGTGTACTTTTAATCAACTCTGACACAGATGATATTCCATCTCATGATGTCAAACTGTCATGGCCAGCATCTTTTCTCTTGGTCTGCCTCTGCCTCTCCTCCACTCCAACTTTCCTACTGTCATGATGTACTCCAGTTTTCTCATTCTCATCATATGACTAAAGAATGTAGACTGTCTCTTTCTGATGTGTGAATCTATTGGTTATTATTGCCTAGACATCGACCTGGCTGCTTCGAAATACGAAGATAAGTGATACTGTGTATTTATGTATCAAGAAAAGATATAAAACCGAACGAAAAGTATATATATGTAGCATTGTCTAATTTGTGTATGTGCTGATAAAGGCTCCATAGCCGCAACATTCACGTTTTGTTTGTAATATTGGGAAGTTCTTTTATATATATACTTTTTGTTCAGGTTTATATCTTTCCTTGATATCTTTCTGATGTGGGCAATCAGTTCTCATCGTTGGTTTCTTTCAAGACATCCTCATACTCTTTTTAATCTGACCAGGGTATTCTCATCATTCGTCTATAAAAACCACATCTCTGCAGATTTCAAATAATGTTTCACTAATCTACCAGCTGTCCATGATTCATTTCCATATATTAAGATAGGATTCATAAAGCTTTTAAAAATTCTCTTTCTCGTCTCAACTGACAAAGAAAAACTGCACAAAATATTCTTCATTTTGTAAAATACTGCCTTTGTTTGAGCTATTATAAAGTTAACTTCTTTAATACATTTTCCATTTGATGTTGTCAGGGTGCCCAAGTCAACCTGCTTGAGGCTTGTCCCACTTACTTTGACTGTGGAGGGTCAGTTTTCTTTGTAATTACCATCTGATTTTAACAAACCCTAGAGGGTCTAATGGGGACCTGGAACCCACACGGGGTGTGCAATCCATAAAATGACAATAATGGCTTGGTATCAACTTCCCCACTCTCTGCCGCACCATTCTCTTCAGAACCTGATGATCTATCAGTGTCTCTGCAGTGTTCGCTTACTCCAAAGACCCCTGGTAACATCATCTAGCTTGTCGTGCATCATCTTTACCAGAAACTGGTGTAGAATCAGCCAATCTGTCTTCCGGTTATTTCCCAACACAACTGCCCACCCTGGAGAACATTTCCAAAGAACAATTCCAGCACACCTAACAACAAGGGGAGTGATGCTTGCCACTCTACACAGAACAAACCCATCTCCAGCTTTCTCAACATGCTTGGTGAGTCTTTTACAGTCATGAAATGTGTGTGCAGCTCATTTTGAATCCATAAAAAGGCCCACAGTGACAACCTCCACCTCCACTCGCAAAGCAGATGGCTATCCATTCGCTTTTGCTACGAACTGTATGCACTTCTTCTGCCTCTCAATACAGTCATCTGTATACAGATAATCAAATCATCTGGGCAAGCACTGTCAATCAGTTTTTGAATTTCTCATTTTGCAGTGCTGACTGGCCAGTCTTTGCACTCCAGGCCTAATGAGAGGGATACGTTGGCGCAGTCGATAGGAGACTCGTTTTCAAATCCAGCTGCGACTCGCTGCAGCCCACGGCCGGTGTTCGAAACTGGGCGGTTCCTGGGGTTCACTTAGCCTCTAGGTAATGGGTACCAGAGTTAACACTCTGGGGTAAATGGAGGAATGTTGCTGTAGCTACAGAGTTTCGTGCGGACGGCGACACAGGTGGACAGTTTCTTATCAGCTGTCCGTACTGGTGGCAGAGCCCTTATGGTTTTTAACCGTGTGCAATGACGCTGGTTGACATCTCCCGACTTTACCTGTTTTTAAATGTGATTATAAAACTATGAGTAAGGCTCACTGCTGCTCAGCCACTTTAACCCACCCCTCACCTCATCTAATATTTTACAAAATTATAATTCTGAGATAGTTTTTTTTTGGTTTCTGAAGGATCCCTTCCCTGCACATATTAGGTTCTCAGTCTCATTCCATCCACCACACAAAAAAGCTCTCAACAAAGTTTATGAATCATGTAGCACCAGCAAGGATCCCAGTATAAGCATTCCAGAATCCCAGTAAACTCTAAATATTCTTTTCTTTCTGTGGTCGGATTGTATCATTTAAAATTTGCACTAGGCATTGCTCTTTTGGTGCACTCTCTTTAATTTCTCAATGTTGAGGGATCTTTACCATATGTAATTTGAACACAAGTTCTATTTTTCAGATATTATTCAAGAAAGCTAAGCGTCCGATTTAACTCTGTTTCGTCAGCATGATGTATAACACCCAGAATCCTTATTAAAAATGTGCAGCACCTAGTCCTATTCAATCATAGGTAGACACAATTCCTTCACCAAGGCGACTGATGCCACCCCACTCCTTATCTATGGCCACTGAATGTTAAAAACCAGAAGATTAAACAACCCAATCATACATTTAGATTTGTTTCTACCCATAAATGTGGAAAACTGATGTGGTGATGCTCCACTGACTTCCAATATATTATAATAATAAACAGACAGGTAGCCTGAAAAAAATCCTGAAGCCTGTTTGTTTCTTGCCATGGTCTGCTAATGCAATTTCCGCTACAAACTGGAGTTTACCATTTCGTTGCCAAAGCTCCTGAGCTGAGTGCTTAGCGCAACACTGAGCTGTGTATATCATGTGAAATGCCTTATGCTTATATTCACATCAATCTGTGATGTGGTTTTTAGATAATGGCAGATTTTCTGTCTACATTTGGACTGAAGATGTCTCTTATACAATAAAATTTTGCCATCTTTATCGAACTGCCATCATGACTGACTACTTCCATAAATGACAAACCATGATTCTGGTGGCAAAGTGTTAGTGTCAGCGCCTGTCACAACTGCCTTATGCATTTACTGTAAATGTATCATTCTGAGCTTTGCATGGACTAACTGGCCTGTTGACCAGTTTTCAAATGGTATAGTCAAGGGCATTCTGTGTGGTTTTTACTGCCATAGAAATGGAACAATTGTAGGGTGACCCATTAGCAGTGAAACTGAAACCTTGACTATCAATTTTATTGACTTTCACATTCCCAAAAGGATTTACAACTTGTATATAATAAACGTTTTTGCCAGATGTCAATGAAGAACATTCTTTTTCCGTCTTTTATCTTCCTAAACAGTACAGGTGGTCACCCAACGGTAACCAAGTCCTTTGTAGTCACCAATTCTCCTTAAATGCATCTTTTAGAGAGCAGGGGTAGTATAGCAGCCATATGCTCACCAGCCAGGCCTAAGGATCAAATCTGCATTTAAGGTGAACTTTCCTTTCCAAAGTTTACCTTGGATTCCAGGCTGACCCAACCTAACATGGATGAAGACCACATCATCCATCAAGCGCTGACTGCTTTATTAAAAATATAGGTTTTTAGCCAAATACATCAAAGGTGTTAAAAGGGTTCTTTTGTCCCCTATAACATGCATGGTAGGTTAGTGTTTCTATTTTGCTTGTTGAATTCAGAATCGACATCACAGCACTCAGGACATTCCCATAAGCGCTCCGTTCCTATCTGATTCCACTGAAGTGATGCTTGCCACTCTGCATGGACCATACCTGTCTCCACTTTTCTGAACATGTCCTGTGAATTGGTTACAATCATGACATGTCTGTACTGCTGCTTCTCAGGCCAGCAGAAGGCTTCGCTGACAGCCTTCACCTCCATTCTCAAACTAGATGTAAACATGTAGTTTGAGAATGGAGGTGGAGGCAGTCAGTGAAGCCTTTGTTTACAATTAGCTTATCACCTTCTTCTTCTTCTTTCGTTCGCATGAAATAAATTATCTATATCTGTAATGCTGTCTCTAGTATGAATTTCACTGTCTTTTGTAATTCACTAAGCGGTCCGTAATGTTTGACTTCCACAAGTGTCTCTTTTGGCCAGAAGTTTTGCCTGGGAGCGTTGAATCTGGGACAGTCTTGGAGGATGTGATCTGTTGCCTCAGGTGCCCGTCCACAGGAACACATGGCTGATTGGCTGATCTTAAATTTGTTGTACATGTTGCAGCGAAGCCGATTGTGCCCTGTTCTACGGCAAGGATAATGACTTGCTCTGGTCTGTCCATAATATGGTAATCGTCTTGTGCCAGTTTCGGTGGCATTCTGATTGATTTGATCATTCTCTTCTTCTGTTGAAAAGAGACTGGTATGTCGGGTTGTTTTACAGTTGCACCTTCCTTAGCTAGTTTATCAGCTCTTTCGTTTCCGGGAACTCCACATTGGGAAGGTATCCACTGCATTACTAATTTACAATGGTTGCCTAGTTTGGATAATAGTGAATGTATGCTTGGTAATTTTCCAGACTGGAGTGCCTGAAGTACCGCTTTTGCATCTGTCAGGATGTGGTTGTGAAAAATACTCTGTATTTAGTAGTTTCTCTACCGCTATCTTGATGGCTTGAACTTCTGCATCATAGTTGTGACAGTGTTGACTGTATCCCTGGTATTATTAGGATACTCAATGTACACTCCTGCACCTACGTTTCTGACTGCACTTTCTGCTGACCCATCTGTGTAAACACGGACCCTAAGATTCTGTGGGTATTCATCATCAAGTAGACTGAGGGTGGCTGTTTTGCGCTGCGCACTGTTTTGTTCTTCTTTGTCAAATACTCTTTTCACTTCTGTCTTGATGTGTCTTGGAAACATACTCCTCTCTCCAGGGGTCCGTTCTGGGACAGCATTTAAGAATCTATCAGTTGCAGGCAAATCAGTGGTTTGTCTGCAGAGCCGTTAGGCCTGGTGGATGAAACTACTTCTCTTTAGTCGTCCCAAAGTTAGATTTTGGAATCTTTCATTCATAGGTTGACTGGGCATACTAAGAAACTTTTCTGTTTGTAAAAGCATCTTGGTGTCTCTGCGTTCACTCAGTGCTTGGGTCATCCCCATTTTCTCCATCACAGCTATAGGTGTTGATTTCATACTGCCTGTGGTAACTCTGAGTGCTTGATTTTGCACTTTGTCTAATTCTTGCAATGTGGTTTTTGATGCCGAACTCCATGCTGTGGATCCATATTCAAGATGTGGTCGAACACTTTGTTGGTAAACTTTTCTAAGTATTTTCCCGCTAGCACCCCATGTGGTTCCATTTAGTTTTCTCAGAATGGCTACCCTCCTTCTGGCTTTCGTTGCTGCCTTGTTGATGTGTTTTCTCCACGTTAACCTAAGCTTATCACCAAGTGTTGCTATTATTTGCTCCTTTAATGTGCCTATGGGGGTGACATTTATAATATAACATTATCTTAAGAATCAGGTGATTATGTTATGAATCAGAACCTGAATATTTACATCTGCTTTGAGAGTGGAAGTGGAGACGGGCACTGCAGCCTTAATTTACATCTAGCTTTTCACCAAGTGTTACTGTTATTTGCTTCTTTAATTGTTCTCAGTAATACATTAGTGACATTTATAACACTACACCCCCGTGTGGGTTCCGGGGCCCCATTGTGGGGAAAACAAGAATAGACACACTGCCTCCCCAAAAGCATGTCGTAAGAGTCGACTAATTAGGGAGCTTCCTTTGAAGTCGGAGTGCATCTGCCTGAGAGGCAAGGAACCAACAGTCTGTATTCAAGAAAATGAGATCTGTAAAACTGATGCACATGCAACACTCAGGTTCTGGAGCAGGACTGCAGTTCAGTAGTGGACGAGCAACCAGAACTTTCCGCCAGAGTGTACAGCTGGTGAACGCGAAGAAGAAGAAGATAACACTACATTACCTTATGAATCAGAAGCTTCATGAAGTATCTCATGTATGAGACAGATGGTGGAAAATTACTACAGACTGGATGCTTCACAGTGGCTAGAAGAAGCTGCCTCTGCAGCTCATGACTTCTGGCTAACAGGGTTGCTTCCTCATCCTAAAATATTCAGTTAAAGAAAAGATTAAAGAAAATATTAATGTCAAAACTGACCTCAAATAGTCAGCCAAAAATTGTGAACACACTTGAGGACAAAAATTGTATTAGATATATATAAATATACTTCTTTTCGTTCACCAGCTGTAAACTCTAGGCGAAAGTTCTGGTTGTTCATCCACTTCTGCACACTAGTCTTGTTCCGTATGATGAGGAAAGGTTAAAGCCATTGTGATGTGTATAAGGAGCTACTCCGTACCTTACCTCGGGTGCCAGAAGGCTCTGGACTGGTTTTATGGATCCTCAGGCAAGACTCCTGCCACACATCCTCAGTGTGCGCTTTGGATAATGGCTCATATGGCCTGAACCGAGTTGGCATGGGATCCTGGAGCTGGTGGTCCCCAGAGATGCAGTGTCCAGAAATCCTCTGGCTCTCATCAGACCCCCCCCCCCCCCCCCCCCGCCCCCCACTGCATGGGTGAAAACGTCTACAGAAAATACATTTTGAACATTAGCGAAGCCTGCTTGCTGAACTTCCTACTGTATGATAAACCGTGGTTCAAATACCTATCAAGAGAAAGAACTAGTGAACTGCTGAGACTCAGCCCTTGAACAAGACATTTGTTTGTAGTTTAGACAAGCAACATCTCCTGAAGGTGATATCTCACAGTACAGTCACCTCCCCATACATTCATTGTTGACCCTCAACGTCATCGTCTTGATGTACATCACACACATGTTTCAGTCAGCCAGCCGAATAAGCTCAAAAGTCTGTCAGTCACATATCCTACAGCAAAATCTAAAATGTCTGACCATCGAAAGTCCTACTGTTTGACAGAAATGTTTAATTGGTCATTAACCTTAGCCTTAATGGTCAGAGTGTACGGGACCAAAAAAGTGGAAGCCATGCTGTTTCCACATGAAACAATGTTAAAGGTGTCTGTATTGAAGAATCATGCACCCCTTTGTGTCGTCGTTAAAGTCAAGGACCTGTGGGATGCACCTTCATGATCTTGAGAAGGTGCAGCCTATGATGAGTGGGAAGCTTAGCAGTCCTTGGGGTGAGCTCAAGACCAGACCATCATGTATCAGTTCTGCTTTTATAGAAGCCTTCTTGGATGGCTGGGGGAATGCCCATGATCTGCTCCTGCCTTCTACTGAGGACCAACCAGTCAACACAAGGTTGCTCTAGATGGATTCTCCAGGAACAATGTCTGTAGATTAAGGGATATAAAGAACATCACACAAATAAGGTCACATCTCGTCCCAAGAAACCAAAAGGGAAGGCTAACCTAGTGAACAAATGCCAGATAAGTTGGATATGTCGGCCAAAGGGCGCAGATATTCCAGCTTTGCTGTAAACAGGCACAACGCAATTACGTCACTGAAACAAACAGAAACTAAGAAAAGTCTTGTTCCAGAATGTTGAGTTCTGCATGCACATCCATTTTACAGATCTGACGTATTTGTATGCAAACTGTCAGTTCTCAGGCCTACCTATCATTTGGAGGAGAGCCTTAATTGTAATTCTAGTGGCAGACAGAGTGTGTGAACACTCTGATGACTGCCTTATGCATTTATCATTTTATGCATTTAATGGATACGGGACGGCGTGTGTGATAATTTTTCACTGCTATAAAGTTGGAACCATAAAAAGACAATGGCGATGGTATCTTTGATTTTCACATTTGAGTGAGCAGTTTAATTCAAGAAGATCGAATTCACTGAAATATGAATTATATGACTTGTTATGTTAGTTAGCTTTGCCACATACCAAGAGAGTCGCACAAAGCACGAATTATGTAGCTTTGGCGGCGATCACCGTAAAAACAGATTCGTAAACGTTACATCAATGTACAGCGCTGACTCAGTTGCGGAAAGTCAACAGATCTAAGAAATGATCCATCTATAAATTAGATTTCAGACAGACTCCTTGTCACTGCTGAGCTGAGAAGACCGAGGACAGAGTGGAGTAGAATTGTAATTGTAGAACTAGAAACAGGAGAACGCCAACATCATTTGGCAAGCAAAATGATAATGCTGATGTTGAAACATTGATAATTTACCTTCCATTTCATTTTTCTAACCGGAACCATTTCAAAAAATTGTGAAGAAATCTCACGAAGAGAGAACATGTCCTTAAAGTTGCCGTTATCATGGTCATGTTCACTGGGAGTAGCCATCTTTGATTCCAGCTGAATGTATTTGCTACAGCGTTTTTCATTGGTTCCGTAAAGTCATCATGGAACTAACGCAACTGGGACCAGAATATCGCCACGGCCCGGCCCTTCCGTTGAAAGTAAAGTACAGGACCCTTTTCCACGCCTTAAGGCGTATTGGACATATAGGGCTAGGCCTATATTTTATAGACCAATCGGCACTTAGTGGGTGACGTGGTCAGCCTCACGTCGGCCGCCTTTACTTCCCAGGATTGCACATGGTACCCACTCAAGGCTTAGTCGACCTGGGAGCTTAGGTCATTTTTGAAAAAAAAGTCTGGTCGCCGTCAGGACCCGAACCCACGACCTTTCGATCCGCAGGCCGGCGTCTAGCCGGCACACCACGGCTACTCCCCCTTACATGAAAAGTCTGCTTTTTTTTATGTGTTTGTCTCTAAAGAAACTGCTAGTACGTTGTATTGTGGTTTACAGGCCTGATGTGATACATGCGTCTTTTGGTCAAACTCATTCGATTTTATCATTCGTAACTAGTAGCCTTTTACGTCACGCTTGGCGACAGTGGGTCTATTGACAATGATGCCTAGAAGTTTTGTACAAGCCCACTAGGGGAATTGAGCAAAATAGCATTGTCAGCTCATGTGGTAATTGAGAAATCAAGGCATAATGTATGCTATTTCTATTTTGTTGTTGTTGTGGCAAAACAAGCAAAATTGTATTTTTTTAAATAAAATATATTGTATGTAAAGAGTGAAATTAAAATTAAATGCCTTGAAAACAAATGCCCCGGGAAAACCGAGGTGATTACAAGAAATAATATAAATGTGTCAATAATTGTTGATATTAACGGTTGGGAGACAAAAAGTATGTTAGATTTGTGTGTTTGGCACATCCTGTCGGAAAAGGGGGAGGGGGTGGGAGATGCATTAAACAGGCATAAGGAAGGGATGGGGATGGGTAGAGTCAGGAAACAAGGATGTGCCGGAACAACTCTAATGTTGAGGAATGTTGATAAGAAAGACCAAGAGTGCCGGAATGGATCCCATCCATGATGTCGGAACCATTGCATGGGTTAGAATGAAAATGATGAACAGACTTTGAGACATATACGGCCCCACAGATGACGATAATGATGATGTGAGGGACTGGGCTATTCAATCACTGAAATATTGTCTCCACAATGGAGGTTTGCTGCAATGAATCTTCAGCTAACTCTGACTCTAGTCTTAATCGAACACTATCTGTTTTACTGATGGGTTTATTTATACAGGCGGTTCGATTAAAGAGGCAAAAGAAGTGCTTGGTGGTTCTTAGAAATCCAGAGAAATTTGACTGTGCTCAACAAAATGGGGAAGCAGAAAAACGTGAACAAAACAACACAACGTTTGCATCATTGCTCTCCTCGTTGTTACGTTTGTGTAGTTCACTTATGTTTGAAAAAGGCTGCCCGGCCGAAACGTTATGTTGTGTTGTTTTGTTCACGTTTTTCTGCTTCCCCATTTTGTTGAGCTTTTTAGTCAAATTTCTCTGGAATTCCTTGCATAAGCTTGACTGCAGTCACCCCCATATTTTCACTATTTTTGGTGGTTCTTAGCAAAATCTAACAGTCGATGTTTGGTGCAGGAGAGCCTAGCAAATGATACCACAACATCCAGCTTTAAAATGGAGGTGGAGGCGGTCACTGCAGCTTTCCACTGGTCAGAGAACACGACACACACGCACATCGTGAACGTAACTGACGCAGAAAACATGCTGAGGCAGGTGAGGAGCATAGTATGGATCTTTTCTCCGGGGAATGCCGGTGTGTTGGGAAATGAACAGGCGGACTGGCTCTGCACAACCTGGTGGAATGTTGTTGTTGTCGTTAGTCCATCACGAGTGATGAGGACCACTCTTTCTTTCATCCGTCATGAATTTAATGTTTGTGAGTCCGGAGGTGACTTATAAGCCCAATGCGTGTCCGGAAGAGTCTAGGACAATGACGGCATGGCACATTGCCTGTAGACAAAAAACCTGTTTGGCGGGTCTTTCTGGCCTGACTTCGCTGTACAGCTGCCCCTGTTCTAGATGCCTCATAGATCGTTGCAACATTTCGGATATATGTTCGCCAATAAGTCCGGTCTTGTGCTACAACCTCCCAGGTGTCAGAGTATATGCTGAATGCTTTCAGTTATGCCTTTAATATACTTAGTGGAATGCTGATGAACGATAAAGCAGACGCGGTTAGGGCCTTGTAGGAAACGTTTACAATTTGGATGAGCAAGTGGATGACCAGAGTCTGGTAAGGGTGATGCAGCAGGGAGTGACGAGGGGGATCTGGCCAATGCTCAACGCTCAGAGGAAAGACGTATAATCAGAGTGCTACTGACACCATAGTTATTGGAACTCTGCGCAGGCTGTCGAAGGTAGGGACGGGGTGCTTATGGAAATGCCCCGAGTGCTGTGCTGTCTGTTCTTGAATCAGCTCAGCTCAACTCTCTCTCTCTCTTACTGCTGTTCTTTATCGCTTCATGTTGTCCTACTTGAAATGATACACGACAACCATCCCAAACATGTGCCCGTTACTCGCTGTCAACTGTTAAGACTTGAAAAAAATTAAAACTATGTAGAAAACCAGACTTAATAGAAGATATATTTCTAGATGTCGCCAAGGCCCTTAATATAACTGTAATGTCTCTTTCTTATTAGATCTCGCGTGTACACATTCAACATGGGTTGTTGTCTAGAGGTCATACAGATCAGAGTAGGCAGACTTCGCTTCTGGTAAACTACACGCGTGTCCAAATGACAGTAAACGAATATTGATACAGTTCCGAGTTTATTTCCAATACCACATAAGCGACAAGAATCAACCTTACAGACTAACACTTAAGCCATCCAGGCAGGGTCCACTTGCTCGCACTTTGAGTACACATCCACTCCACGGTCGACGTTGACATACTCACGACTGGCAGAATCAACAGTCAGTAGGACACCTCTGTTGTCATCAAATATACTTCAATGTGGCTTTGCTGCAACCACGTCACAGTTTTCACTTCTTGCCATTCCGGATCAATGTTCACTCTGTATCCACTTTAACTCCTATCTCTCTGGGGTCCTGTCACAGAATGACTTTCTAGTCAGCTATTCCTCCAGACCTCGACTTCCCAGTTGAGCTCCCACAGTCTCGTGTTTTGCCATTCTCATGTCGACTTCATGTCTCTCAATTTAGGAACTCCAACAATTCTGCTAATCAGTCAAACCAGTAACGTTATATATATTTTTAACATCACTACAATAATAAGGTTTTTTGGGACTTGGGCAAGGGGGGATTCCCATCCGAAAGGTGGCAAATTGAGTCACCGGGTAGTAATCGCTGATTGTGCGGTCCTGTTGGGGTTGAACGTCAGTCAGTTACCGCTGCTCACTTTCTGCTGGTTAGTGTTGTCATCACATCCCAAACCACTGTCTATCATACTTCCATGGATATATTAGTCATGACATTTCTCCAGTGTGTTTAAACTGTATATATGCTTAAAGAGCTTGCGGATATCACACATTCTTGACTATTGAAAGGTCAGTTTATCGTAAAGACACTTGGGCAGGCCAGTACATCCATTTCAACAGTTTTGCACCTTTGCAATGCAAACGTGGTCTAGTGAGGAAGATTTATTCAAGCCACACGCTACAAGCTGAGTTTGAAACGATTAAACAAACACTGCTTTCTAATGGATATCCAGGTGGTTTTATTAAGTGCCATTGCCAGCCGCCTAAACCAGTTACCATAGAAATGTCGGTGCCAAAAAAAAAAAAAAAAAAGTTTATATACATCTAACGTTCTGGGGAGATAACGTCATGCAACGTGTATATGACAGACTCAAAACAGCAGCCGGTCAAACCTTTTACGTAGCCATGCCTGTTATGAGATTTAAAACCACCACGATTCCTACGCCACCTGTAAAAGAACCAGTGTCGACGTACGCCAGATCTAACTGTATATACCAATTTAAATGCACCTATAACGCTGCATATGTGGGCAGAACTGATCGACGACTGGAGACGACTGGTTGCTGAACATATTCCACTATGGGTGGTAAAAGCAATGCAAAACACTAACATCTCAACAACAACGAATCAGGTGACTGGTTGACAAAATCCATCATCAGCAATTGCGTGCCATATTCTAAATTCCGGGCACATCATTAACAGGGATGATGCATTTCGAATTATTTACAATTCAGCCAACCGTAGATTACTCTGATTCACGGAAGCTTCCGCGATCAGCCTGTTGAAACCAGATCTATGTAGGCAGAAAGAAATGGTCGTTTCCTTAAGATTACCTTGGTGAAACAGACTGTAGAATGTACTCGAAATTGTGTTTCAGTTTTAAGGATTCAGCTATTTGCTTCATTTTTATTACTTGTTACTGTAGTATGCACCTGACAAGATACAGCGAAATATGCCAGGCAATAATATTGTTTGTGTCTTCTTTGTTCAAATTCACATCGGGGAAACATTGCTTTGTATACAGAGAAAGTTGGAATAAGACCATGTCTGGACAGTACTGACAAAGAATTAAATGGTTTGTCATCTTCCTCTTTCATTAACTCTTACTGGAGCATACATTATCAGCCATCTCAATGCAGCCCTCTTATCCGTTGATATCTCAAATAGTTTTACTTTCATGTCTTTCCTATCTGTGTATCTCTTTTTCATGGCTCTGAACAATGGTTAAAAAAAAGTATACTCAAACGAGACAAATCTTGGATGGGTCGGGCTGAGAATGCCATCGAACTGGTTTTCAGTTAAGTAAACTTGCCAAGTATCCGCAAATCCTTAAGACAATACCTTGTGGATAGAGAGGGGGTGGGTGGGGTGGTGGTGGTGGTGGTGGAGTCCATGTGTAATGTTACGCACATACAAAAATCTCTTGATAGTTGAAAATAAAAAAAAGAGTAGCTTAAAGGCGCTGCCCAGGCAAAATTTGGAGTTAAAAATATACTCAAAGTATTTTCATGATCCTCTCC